CCCCAAAACCCCAAAACCCCAAAACCCCTAAATTTTTTAAAGTTTAATAAAATTCAAAAAATGTCGAAACAAGTAAGCAAAGCTGATCTGGCATCCTAAGTGGGACCTTTAGGACCAAGAGTTCACCCATTGGATGACAGTAGCTAGGAAGGTAGTCATGGACGCTGTTGAGGAACAAACTGAAGCGGCCTTATCAGAGTTTGATACTAAAGAGTCTGATAGTAAAAGTAAGCTTTTAAGTCTATAGATTTGTAATTAAATCTCGTTTGTACAGAAAATCTCTTAATATTTAACCTAACCTTGTGCTAACTCATATGGATTGATTTTCTGACTTATTGATGCCCATATATAATGTCTTTCAGATGAACAAGAAGATAACAGGAGTGAGAAAACTTCAATTTAACTCTTAAACATGAGTTAGAGCAGGATCTCAAATATTTAGTCGTCAGGCCTAAAGCATAGGGGCATTAGTACAGCAAAGAGGGAATAATGAATGCTTAGCCTGTCAAATTTCCTCATTGTCATATACCTATTCGATTTATCTCATTTTAAGCACAAAATGAGCATTTTCCTTCAGATAAAACTCTGTTTAGTTTGGATTTTAGCCTAAAGGCTTCTTGGGCCATCTCAGCTGTTTGTATATAAACTTATTTAGAAATCTACTTGGCTCAGAAAGCAAAATCTGCTCAGATTTTGGATTCCTTGCATCAAAGATTTAGTAAGTTTTTACTAAAACTTTAGTCCAAAATCATACAATTGGACAAGAGATTTGTAAGGCTGAGAGAGATTTTAGTAGAAAAGAGAAGTTCAAGAAGGGACTTATGGAAGAATCTTCTGAGCCTGTTAAGCTATATACTCCTATAGACACTGACATCTTGGAGTAAGCTTATTTTTGTAACTGCTTAGGGATTATACCAAGCTTGAACAGTGTCAGAAAGCCTTAGATAAAATTGAAGAAAGGTTTAAGATTTGTGTCACTGATCGGTCATACATGAACAATTCCTTGTTTTCTAAATCAAATCTCTCCAAAAATCCTGCTTTTAGGAATACATTGAAGTAAGGTTCAGCCTTGTGACTCTGATTTTGGTCATTTTCCACTAAAAAGACCCGCCATTGTAAAGGTAGACCTCTGTAGAGTCTAACCAATAGAAACCGGAGTGGCATAAATCTACAGTTATGAAGAAATTACAGATCTCTCAGGGATCTCAGGAAGAAGAAACTTCTATGAAGAGGTATCAGATCACATAACTTTCTAGAGTTCACAAAGATATCAAAGGATATCTTGGAATGAGGCTGAAATTAGTCGACAAAATCTCACGATTTGTTGGTAAATTTTCTATATAAACTTGCTAGAGAATAAGGTGAATGACATTGGCGAGGAAATAGCCACACTCAGTATACATTGTTTTGACTTCTAGAAATCACTGGGAAATCTAAAAAACAGTTGAATATCAAAAATGCTAGTAAAATAAAAATCACTGAAGAAATGATCAATAAGTTTTGTGACCACAAGCAGAGAGAAGCTTCCTTACAGAAGTTGTTCCAATATTCCATTGTTGATGAATTCTATAATGGACGTCCATCTATGAGGCAGATTGAGTATAACCCAGAGGAGATTTTGTATGAAAATGCACTAGACAAGGACTCTAAGATACCTAAGAGTGAGAGAAGGCTTGGCCATACATTCTCGCTCCCAAAGGTAGCTCTCGAATTTCCAAAGTATGAATGTGATCCGGTGAAAACTAGAACTCATGTTCATAACTCACTGAAACTTTCAAATGAAGAGGTAAGGAATATTCAGAATACCTATCATATTCCTATCCTGAAGGAGGAGAAGAAGAAACCTGAAACTATCACTAAAAATACTGAGAAGAATCCTTTAGATCCGTATTTGTTTAGTACCCAGGATCAGGAGGCAACTGCAGAGGCTGGTAATGACAACAAGGAGGAGAACCCAACTTTGGCCTCTAGGAAGACCTCTGAAAGTAAAGATACAGTCAAAGTGTCTCCAAAATTTAAAGATGCTGAAGAGAACAAGGACAATAATATGGGAGAAGAAAACATGCAAAACAGCAAGGAAGATGCTCAGGAAGATGACAAACTACCTTTATCAGAGCTAAATATTCCTGAATCTAAGAATCTTATTACACCGAAACCAGCTGAAGCCTTCTCAAAGCCCCCCAACGGAGGACCTACTCAGGTATGTAGTTTTGTATTACTAGGTGTCTGATATACTCTAGAGACCGAAGCCAGACCCCTTTGGCAACAAAGTGCAAGCAAAGAAGAGTTCCCTTTTTGATACCGGAAAAGGGAGTTCTCTCAATAAAGCCAAGAGCTCAAATGGGAACTTTAAGATGGGGTAAGAATTATGAGCTGTAAGTTTCAATACGTAGAAGATATATTGGGGTTTTGGGGTTTTGGGGTTTTGGGGTTTTGGGGTTTTGGGGTTTTGGGG